CACACATATACACACACTGACTGACTGCATCTGCCGGTGATCGATTGAACTGAACGGTTTGATTTATCGGTGGAGAGCACAATTTAACAACCAGAGGAAGATGATCTCAGATTCAGTATTTGCTACCAGAAAATCAAAAGCAGACCGTCATAGTAAAATTTTGTATGAACAGGACAATATAATGCAGGTGTGTGTATGAAGCTGTCTTGGTTTATATCTCGGGATCAAGTACGACCACGACCACCACCACAACAACAGTATCACGGGTTGCTTTTTCCACAACACTCTTTGTTGCGACTAGCAGCGCGAAGAGTGACACATACTGTCACAATAACCGTTTATTAGGTTACGTCAACCAGTACTCAATGTGAAAACCTGCATCCATGTGGTAATTGTAGTGATAATAGCACGCACTGATCACGAAGTACGAATCACAAGTTAGAAATCATGGATTAGAAATCACGGACGCAACGTAAACACCGGATCACACTGGTACTAGCACGACAGTATCCCACGGGACCGAGACGCGAGGAAAAGGTCACAGGAATAGCACCAGTTCGTTTATTGAAAGAAATAAGATGAATTAAATAATGTGTCCAAACAAGTTCATTGATCATCCAATCCTCTGCCAATAGCGTGCTAGTATTCCTGGTGTTGTTCAGCTTCCGTTTGGGCCGCACGGGTTCTGATTGGTAGGTACTATCGACCAATGGGTTTTAGTCTGGAAGCTGTGACACGTACGTGCTTTGATGACGTTAGTCTAGGAAGCTTGATTAATCACAGTTGTCCGAAAACGGTAACGTGTCGCTCCGAGGTGTGCGTCATCTCGTAGGCTACTAGGATCACCACAATTCAACTCCAATAAGATTGGCTTCGTATTGATCTGGACAGCAACAAACCGGTCTGCCACTGAAGTTGGTGGTCGGTGGTCGGGTTCGAACCTCTATCTGCCGCTTAAATGCTATGACCACCAACAAACAATGTGACAACAAGAAAGAACAAGAAAATGAACAACGGAAATCACGTGACAAGTTTTGTGCATCCTCTTCACTACTCCTCACATGACTTGAAGGACTGTTTCATTTTTTCCGTAACGGTTCACTGTTTCAACGTCCTAGCTTTTTATCTTTACAAATCACTTTCCCATTAAGTTGTCCCGCTAACAAATTCCAATATCCTGGTACTACGTGGACAACGATGAGTTCTCGAGGAAATGGACTGCCAAGGTGATCGAAAGTCGACGCTGATTCNGATTGATTCACTGTGAATGTGATGATGTCATGCATATCACTGTGTGTGCTCGAAGACCAGCCGCTTTATTGTTTTACTCTCTGCAAGATATCGTACAAGTAATAACAGAACATGGGAATTCGTCTTGTTTAAAGCAAATGAAGCGTGAACTGAAATGCTAGGAAGCACTGGACAGCTCTTTCGACCTGGTCGGTTGGTTCTCATCAACAGTGTGCGAATTCATCGACCCAACTGGAGATCGCGAACCCGGGACCCCACAGGCAGGACGTAGGCATGCTACCCACTCAGCCACCTCGGGACTGCCGATCAGATCGTTTTTCATTTTCCATTTACACGATATAACACAACCCATCTTTGCTACTTTGCTGCGGGTCACAGACATCGCTCAACTCAGCAACAGTCTCCGTGGTTACGACTCAACCTGACTACTTGTTTCAAGTTGATATCGTTCAAATTATAGCAGAACGTTTGAAGTTAAAAAATACTATTGATTTACGGTCAATCTCAGCTGCCCTCAATCAATCCTGAACAAGATATGATAGATTTACCGACAGCAGTTGATACCATACCATGTCTTTGTAAAACTAATCACTATTGAACTTTTAAAGACAGTATTACTTACTACTGATTGATTGCTGAAATTCCAAAGACAAAAACTTTTCGTTTTTGTACGTTCAACGAAGGCCGGTTATATAGATATTTTCTGTGGTTTGACCGAGATGTTTTGTAAATGAACTTTTCCATCGGTTACTGATAATCAAGTAGACTCTCTTCTTTTTATCGTTTCAAACAATGCAGTGCCATAAATGTGGCGTTGTATGATGAATTCGTCGTGTAAATAAGGTGTGAGCTGAAAAACCAAGAAAGCACTCTGGATAGCGGTTTCGACCTGGTCGGTTGGGTCTTATGTCAGCTGTACGCAAATCCACCAACGAAACTGGGGATTGAAACCGGTCCCTCATTGGGAGAACGCAAACTTACTTTCCACTCGGCCACCCGGGGCCTCTGATCAGACCGTTTTTCATTTTCCCTATACACGATATAGAACAACCCATCTTTGTGAGTTTGCTGCACGCATCGCGCCTCACGCATAGCGGCACTAGCTTCCGGGGTTATGACTCGGTTGGAAACTATCACAACCTGACCATGGCTTATGGTTATGGTGCTCCGTGGTCCGCACCGCTACCACCACCAACATCACCACCAACAACAACAACCCGGTGATCCGGTCGGTCTTTTGTTCAAACCCTTTCACAGGCTGATTACACTTGAGCAATAGGGTTTTCCTTGTTTTGGCTGGTTTGTAAAGCGATATCGTCCATCGCGGTGACAATGTGACTTATTCGATGACCACACCACACGTGAAATTTGAACTCATCGTATTAGAAAAAACTATAGAATTTTCGCAGATTTTCTAACTAATGTATTTCTCACCAAAGGCGATCGCTTGTGTGGTACCATAGCGTCGTTTAAAAGCTTTTCGTTCCACCGTCTCCTAGTTCCCCCAAATTCATCACTGATAATGGTGAAGAGGCTATCAAAACTACCCGCTATCTATGATGTAATCATTCAACGGAACTGAGCGTGCAGTGTTTTATTCCTCGTCTCTCCGCTACCCTCGGTCAGGATTATCCCACTTTCAGTACCAGGGGTTTATTCGGTACGACAAACGTGGTCTTGCTCAAAACCCATTGTGCACCGTATCAGCAGATAGCCCGTTTGTGGGAACTATTGCCCGCCCAGCTAAGACAGACCAGACCCGGTCCAACCATGACCCGCTGATGTGAACACAGATGCCAGATTGAGAGTTTTAAAATATGAGTTTCATTAGCAGCAGAGAATAGTAACACAAGGCTACTAACAGCACAAATTGATGTGGTCGCATAGGTGTGGATGAAGTGAAGGACTGAAGGATAGAGCGAGCGTGTGTGCGCGGGGGCACGAGTGAAAGATAGTAATCAATTGTGAGAACAAATTTGCAATAATAATAAGATAGTGGAGGTAAACAAGTTGTGGAAGTGATATTTTTTTCTCCATAAGTGAATCAAACAGAGAGAGGGAGGCAATCGGAGTCTGAATGGACAAATCGGGAATGCGGGCGGAGTAGTAGTCGTTGCACGACGGGGAGGAGAAGTTCACGCGCGAGCGAGAGAGAGCAGGGGTTGGCTCGAGGGAACCACTCGGGTAGCTTGTTTCAAAAACTGACACAATATTGTGGCGGCGATCACGTGAATGGTGAAGGTTGCATGTTTCAACACATGAGCTGTGTTTGAACAGATCACGTGCTCATTTATCTGGTAGCATGCAATATACGTTGCACAGCTTTTCATATCCGATATGGAGAGTTGAAGCAATGAGAGGTGTTCGGGGTGGGGGTGGTAAGAAAGCGTTGCTATTATTCACATTTGGGTCACTTTCGTTGCCAGATCAGTTTGTGCTTAGATCGAGCAATAATCGAACTGAACAAACACAATTCAAGGTCAATCATCTACGCTCCCAAATCGATACCGAAATTAGAGGGATTAGGGGGGAAAGATACTCGGTGCACTAATGAATTGACGAACGAAAGAGTAAGAGAATCACGCCTTCGGATCGGTCGATGTGAACAGTTGAAGAGAGAATAGTGAATAGAACCAGAATGTTTGAATGTGTGTAAAAATGAGGCGAGAAGAGACGTGCCTGGATAGGCGATAGGACGGAACAAATCCCCGAATAGAATAGCCCTTGGATTCAGGGCTAGAGGTAACAATGTTGTGTCCAGTTTATCCGGTTTGTGTGAGGGAGAGCGCGGGCGGGGTGTGCTTATCTCTATATATACAATATCTTAATAAATGCAGAGCATACAAAATGCCAGAGCGGATACGAACGCGCTCGGATGATAGCCCGTGTGTGTGTGTGTACTCGATGTCTTTTCGTGTTTGTCACTTGGCTTGCTGAGAATCGTTGAAGGAGGTGGGAGGCATTAAATGCGGAACGAACACGAACCGGGTACAACAACAACTCTTCCGGCATGAGCTACATCATTTGGGGGGAACTTAAATG